CGGCTCGCGCCCTCCCCCGATCTGTCCCTTCAGGCCAATAATGCACTGTAAAAAAGAACCACCCTCAGAGGAGGACTTACCTGGGATGCCACATCAAGCCGTGGGATTGCCAGCGCACTCTTTGTTCGTAGCAATCCCGGCTCCTTGTGTGGCAGGGGCCATAGTGCTGTTTTGGGAAGTGAGAGAGATGCTCTGAGTTCTGAGTGTATGGTGTCTGCCTCTGACTTTTGCAGGCTTCTAGCCAACAAACAAACTAAGCTGGATACCTTTTTGACTATAATATTAAAACTAGTAATCATTTTTTCCCTTTACAAGGTGAATGAATTACAAATGAATTACAAGTTAATTCTTCAGTTCTGTGGCTTACTTAACAATCCTACACAGCCTAAACATAACTCCATGCTGCCCTCTCCTGACCTACTCACTGAGGAAAAGGACTTGTCCTGAGAAGGATACTCTTCAGATTCTAGCCTCTCAGGCTTTTCTAATTGCTGAGACTCTATGATAAAATCAATGCCTTGTACTAAGCCCTTTCTATCAAGTTGGGGTGTATGTGTGTCAAACTTTATCTCCGGTTCTTTCTGGAAGCCATTCCTGTACACAAAACAATTTACAAAGAGGCTACAAAATACCACCTCTCTGATGCTAGAACCTTGTAAAATATAACTGTTCATACACCCCTTCTGAGGGAGAATTATTGATTGGAGAGGGAATTGGTGCATTAAGGAGCATTTGGCTTATCTCCTTGATTGACCTCCTAGAGATGTCAGTCTGAGATTTTTTGAGGTTCGTCGTGGCCCTATTAGAGAAAACTTGCTTACACTTATGTTCTATTCCTCCCATGTTCCTCCCACATTAACAAACAGCAGTGGTAGACTTCACATGGAATTATCCCTAAAAGTTGTTTCTGTTCTTCTTCACTAACACTACTTTCCCCCATGAAACCCTACTTTAAGAAACCTGCACCAAATCTCCTACAACCAACACAGGGGAATAAAATCACCCCTAGGCATTCTACACAACCTTTAATTGATCTTTCCCCAGTAAGAAAAGATTCATATCCAAGCTTAATCTGAACAACTAGGAATTCAGGCATGAATAATAAGTAACTGCTTGTGACGAAAAACTCCAACAACAACAAACCCCTCTTCCACATTCTCAAATTTATTACATTATGAGTCACTGGGTAGGGCAGACTCCAACCTAATGCAGTCTTTTTATGTCTTGTCAAAAGTTGAATAGATTAACATCATTGACAGGCTAGAGTATCTTAAAGAAAATTTGAAGCTGATTACTAAGAACCACTTCTGACTTATGGCACCCCAATGAATTAATGACTTCCAAAACATAATGTCACTGACAACCTTGCTCAGGTCTTGCAAACTGAAGGTCACAGCTTTTCTCAATGAATTAATGAAGTGAGTAGGGCTATAGTAAAATGGAATTGTTCAGGACAGTCTTCTTATAAAGGGAACAAGGTTATAGACCACTGCATGTATTATCTAGTTTTTACTGCATCGTCTTCTCATTTTTGTAATCCAGTTTTTGTTTGTTTATAGTGCCTTGCACTGGTTTTTATTGCAGTGTTTTCTAATCTTGTAATCCACCTTCAGATAGAAATGCAGGTTTATAAACAAATACATGATGGGTCTTTTTGCAAGAAGTGAAAGGTGTAACTTTATTTAGGATTGCCCTGTAGGTTGCCCAGGACCATCACAAAGTACTGCACACAAAGGAAGAACATTGGGTCTCAGAGATGGTACGTGGATTTAGGGAGTCTAAGTTGTAATTGAGCACAATATGCAAGACTTTATAAACCTTGGCTTTCCATTCCATTTGTAATTTTTGCAGAATGAATTAATTTCTGAGAGAGTATTCTCTTAGAGAGCCAATTTGGTGTAGTGGTTAAGTGCATGGACTCTAATCTGGGAGAACTGGGTTTGATTCCCCATTCCTCCACTTGCACCTGCTGGATGACCTTGGACAAGCCATAGTTCTGTCAGAGCTCTCTCAGCCCCACTTACCTTACAGGGTGTCTGATTTGGGGAGGGAAAGGGAAAGGCAGGGGTCTTTTGGGGCCGGAGCGTGCTGGAGCGCCGCTCTGGGAGCCCAGGAGCTGGCACAAATGGCGGTGGCAGCAAGCCCCACCCCCAGCTCTCCGCGCTGCAGCCCGTTGCTGGCTTCCCAGGGCCCGTGCCAGAGCGCTGTGGCCCCAAGGAAGCCAAAGGAGGCCTGTTGGTGGTTTCCTGGGGCCTGCACCAAAGCTCTGCGGCCCCAGGGAGGCCCGTCACCTGTTCCCTGGGGCCCGCACTGGAGAGCTGTGGCCCAGGGAGGCCAGGGGATGCCCATCGCTGGCTCCCTGGGGCCCGCTCCGGAGAGCTGTGGCCCAGGGAGGCCAGAGGATGCCCATCGCTGGCTCCCTGGGGCCCGCGCCAGAGCGCTGCAGCCCCAGGGAGGCCTGAGGAGGCCTGTCACTGTCTCCCTGGGGCCCACGCCAGAGCGCTGCAGCTCCAGGGAGGCCAGAGGAGGCCCGTCGCTGGCTTCCTGGGGATCACACCGGAGCGCTGTGACCCAAGGGAGGCCAGAGGAGGGCCACCACCGCC